AACCTAAAATGCAATAAAATAAATGGGAAAAAAAATACAAGTGTGAGCCACTGCACCCAGCCCAAAAACAATCTTTAAAGTCATATAGATAAATTAACAACAAACTATTTGAAATGAAATTAGGAAAATAATCCCATTTACAATAACAACAAAAGAATACAATACCCAGGAATAAACTGATTTGAGGTGAAAGACTTATATGCTGAAAACTACAAAATATTGATGAAAGAAATTAAACATCTCCTGCAATGTCTGCTTATAAATTTTAAAAGATATTAAACAAGACACAAATGAAAAGACACCTCATGTTCATGAATTAGAAGACTCAATATTGTTAAAATGTCCATAAGACCAAAAGTGATCTACAGATTCAATGCAATTTCTATCCAAATTCCAATAACACTTTTTATAGAAATAGAAAAAAGCAATTCTAAAATTCCTATGGAACCACTAAAGATCACAAATAGTCAAATTAATCTTAAAAATGAAGCACAAAGCTGAAGGCATAACATTTCCTAATTTTGGAATATATTACACAGCTGGACTCGGTGGTTCACACTTGTAATTCCAGCACTTTGGGAGGCCGAGGTGGGCAGATCACGGGGTCAAGAGTTGGAGACCAGCCTAACCAACAAGGTAAAATGCTGTCTCTACTAAAAATACAAATATTAGCCAGGTGTGGTGGCACACAACTGTAATCCCAGCTACTCAGGAGGCTGAAGCAGGAGAATCACCTGAACCCAAGAGGCAGAGTTTGCAGTGAGCTGAGATTGCAACACTGCACTCCAGCCTGGGCAACAGAGTGAGACTCAGTCTCAAAAAGAAAAGAAAAGAAATATATTCCAAAGCTACAGTAATTCAAATAGTATGGTACTTGCAGAAGACAGACATATAGAGAAATGGAAAAGAATACAGAGCCCAGGAAAAAATCCACACATACATAGTCAATTGATATTTGGCAAAGGTGCCTAGAATATACAATGGGGAAAGAGAAGTCTCTTCAGCAGATAGTAGTTTTTGTTCCTCCAAAGAAGACATACAAATTTTTCCAAAGAAGACATACAAATGGCCAGCAGTTATATGAAGAAATATTCAATGTCAGTCATCATCAGAGAAATGCAAATCAAAATTGAAATGAGCTATCAGCTCACATCGGTCAGGATGGCTTTTTTTTTTTTTTTTTTTTTTTTTTTTTTTTTTTGAGACAGAGTTTCACTCTTGTTGTCCAGGCTATGGTGCAATAGTGAGATCTCAGCTCACTGCAACCTCTGCCTCCTGGGTTCAAGCGATTCTCCTGCTTCAGGCTCAGAAGTAGCTGAGATTACAGGCATGCGCCACCACACCCGGCTAATTTCATATTTTCAGTAGAGACGGGGTTTTGCCATGTTGGTCAGGTCTCAAACTCCTGACCTCAAGTGATCCACCCACCTCAGCCTCCCAAAGTGCTGGGATTACAGACGTGAGATATGGTGCCTGGCCAGCTATTATTTTTTAAAAGGTAACACATGTTACAGAGGATGTGAAGAAATTGTAACCCTTGCACACCATTGGTGGGAATGTAAAACAGTGCAGCCACTATAGCAAACAGTATGAACCTTCCTCAAAAAATTAAAAATAGGACTTCCATGTGACCCAACAATCCCACTTTTGGGTACCTATCTAAAAGAATTGAAATCAGGATCTCCAAGAGACATTAGTACTCCTATGTTCATTACAGCACTGTTCCCAATAGCCAAGATGTGGAAATAAGGTACATGGACATTGGACAGATGAATGAATATGAGCCAGTCACAGAACGATAAATACTGATTCAACTTATCTAAAATAGTTAAATTCATAGACTCAAAGAGTGGAATGCTGTTGCCACAGGTGAGGGGAGTAAGGAGGACTTACTAATCAATGGGCATAAAGTTTTGATCAATCAAGATGAATAAGCTCTAAAGATCTACTATATAACATTGTACCTAAGGTTAAAAAAAAATCATGTATTGTACATTTAAAAATTTGTTAAGAGGGTAGATCTTGGCCAGGTGCGCTGGCTCATGCCTGTAATCTCAGCACTTTGGGAGGCTGAGGCGGGTGGATCACTTGAGGTCAGGAGTTCAAGACCAGCCTGGCCAATATGGTGAAACCCCATCTCTAGCAAAAATACAAAAAAATTAGTTGAGTATGGTGGCATGCGCCTGTAGTTCCAGTTACTTGGAAGGCTGAGGCAGAAGAACTGCTTGAACCTGGGAGGCAGAGGCTACAGTGAGCCGAGATCACACCACAGCACCCCAGCCTGGGTGAAAGAGCAAGACTCTGTCTCAAAAAAAAAAAAAAAGAGGGTAGATCTCATGTTAAATATTTTTGCTACAATTTTAAAAATCCATATAGAATGTTAGAGTATGTAAGCTTCATTTCATACCTTGTGGTAGTTGCTATTATAATAATTATTAATAATTTAAAATGTAAAGCACTCGGATCTGGAAGGCAAAGAACGGGGGGCAAGGGAAGAAAAAGAACCTGACATTTACTGCACTAAACATTTCAGATATTTACATACATTATTGCATTTAATCATTATAACCTGTGAGGCAGGAGATTATTATATCCATTTTGCAGATGAGAAAGTTCAGTTTCAGAAAATGAAGTGACTTGTATGTTTACAAAGCTAGCAGGTGGAACAGGATGAATTATGCTGGGATATAAGGACAATTAATGGTCTAAAGCAATAATGTTCTACTTAGAAATTCACTTCAATTTGGTGGGAATTTAGAAAAATTGAAGATGTGGAAATATGTGATATGTAAGCAATTTTTATAACTAAAAAGGAGCTAGAAGAAAGAATAGGAAAATACTATGAATTTCAAAAAAAAAATTTTTTTTTTTTTTTTTGAGACAGAGTTTCGCTCGTTACCCAGGCTGGAGTGTAATGGCGTGATATCGGCTCACCGCAACCTCCGCCTCCTGGGTTCAGGCAACTCTCCTGCCTCAGCCTCTCGAGAAGCCAGGACTACAGGCACGCGCCACAATGCCCAGCTAATTTTTTGTATTTTCGGGGTTTCACCATGTTGACCGGGATGGTCTCAATCTCTTGACCTCGTGATCCACCCACCTCAGCCTCCCAAAGTGCTGGGATTACAGGCGTGAGCCACCGCGTTTTTTTTTTGAGACGGAGTCTTGCTCTGTCGCCAGGCTGGAGTGCAGTGGTGCAATCTTGGCTCACTGAAACCTCTGCCTCCTGGTTTCAAGCGATTCTTCCGCCTCAGCCTCCCGAGTAACTGGGACTACAGGCACGTGCCACAATGTCCGGCAATTTTTTGTATTTTTAGTAGAGACGGGGTTTCACCATGTTGGCCAGGATGGACTCGATCTCTTGACTTCGTGATCTGCCCACCTCGGCCTCCCAAAGTGCTGGGATTACAGGCGTGAGCCACTGCGCCAGGCCGAATTTCAAAAATTTTAAAGGAGTACTCAAATAGATTACACAATTTACTATATTGAAAAACGGTCTCGGCTGGGTATGGTGGCTCACGCCTGTAACCCCAGCACTTTGGGAGGCCCAAGCGGATGGATTACTTGAGGTCAGAGGTGGTGAAACCCTATCCAAACAGACAGTACAAATGTGGAACTCTCAGGATTAAAAGCAGTGACATCCCTGGATATCTGTATGTAATATACAATAACCCTATCCTTTTGTATATGTCCAATAGCATACTATATGGTCTTTATGCAAAGACTCTTTTATTATGGTGCAAGAGAAAGGGAAAATATAAATTAAAATCTAGAAAATATATTATGTATTTTCAAAATCTACAGTATACCTACCTTGCAGATCTTTAGAAGAGTTAAGATGAACCTTTTAAAGGCACCTCTGTACAGCCAAATACACTGTAAGGGAACAGGAATTCTTAAAAAGATAGTAATAATTTTTGTACTTCCTAATCTTTTACATATTTTTGATAGCCTTGTAAATTTGGAGCTCTATATTGGGGATTATGGTAAAATTATAGGAATTATTATAACCTCTAACTTCAAGGATCTTAACAATTTAAAAATTTAATCATAAGTATAGCCATATAGCTGTATAACACAAAATTGTAAACATACTGTAATACCTTAATAAAATCCAAAATATACACACATCTTTTTTTTTTTTTAAGACGGATTTTCTTTCTTGTTGCCCAGGCTGGAGTACAATGGCACAATCTCAGGGTTTCGTCCACCGCAACCTCTGCCTCCCAGGTTCAAGCAGTTCTCCTGCCTCAGCCTCCCGAGTAGCTGGGTTTACAGACATGTGCCACCACGCCCAGCTAATTTTGCATTTTTAGTAGAGACAAGGTTTCTCCACATTGGTCAAGCTGGTCTTGAACTCCTGGCCTCAGGAGATCTGCCCACCTCAGCTTCCCAAAGTTCTGGGATTACAGGTGTGAGCCACCACACCTGGTCTACACACATATCTTTTAGCACCTACTTTTATAAAAGCACTTCTATAGAAAAATTAATGTATTCATTTAATAAACATGTATTAAACACCTTGAATGTGTCCCAGAATATGCCAGCCACTGTGAATTAGAGGTGAACAGGGTAGTCCTCACTTAAAAGGAAATTACTGCTGGAAAGGGAGGAGGATCTGAAAGCAGGTAAATGATGTGGAATGTTAAGTGCCAGAACAAAAGTATGGATATATCCCCAAAACTAATCATGACTTATTTACTCCCTACAAGTTAAACAATTTGAAAATACAAACTAACTCAGAACAATAAAATTAAGGGCAGTTAATATTCATATTAATGTTGGCATGCCCATTTTGTTTATAAGAGTTGACAATGAACTTTATAGGTTTTTGTGTATGAAAGTCTGTGCTATTATATCTTGGGTTATTAATTTTATTACTAGTTTTACTGTGTATTCATTTAGCTTTATTTAATTTTTAGATAATCTAATACTGTTATACTGTTTTACAGTTTAGTTATTAGTTTCAAAGCAGAATGCTTTTAATTCTTTGTGTGCTACAGGTAACTTTGAAGCCATACATCACATAGTTCCTGTTTATTACCCACAGGTGGGTAAGCCAAAATTAGTCTTTTTCTCTGAAATACAGAGATACCCTGTAAATGGAAATGCATCTCCAGAAAGTTCCCGAGAAGATTACACTAAAATTATTAAAGAGATGGGGTAGGTTCTTTCAAATACTTATGTGACTTTATCTTTTTGGTGGGTAGGAGACATCCTCACAGTAAACACAGAGGAACAGAGGCCATCCAATCTGTCTCCTAGTTCTTTGTTCTCAATCCTTTTTGGCCAAACACAGAAAGAAAGAAAGAAAAAGTTCATTGTTGGTCTGCCCAAACAGTCAGAAAGTTACTGTGGGAAGGTCATTTCTGGAAGAGTTGGGAATTAGACTGAATATACCCACTGAGGTAGGGTAGGGGACTCAGGAAAATCCCAGAGGCAGAGGTTAAGATGTCTCAATGATCAGGGATTCTGTCAAAGGAGTCCGAGGTCCAGCTGATGATGAGTAGTCCACCAGTGGCAGAGCATATGGTTGCAGAAAGAAGTCCAGAGGACTACAGAATTAGGCTACTTTCACCACTTCTACAAACCAAGGGTTTTTAAGCTATTGTCTCTGAAGGAGATGAAAGTTTCACCTGATGAGGAAAAAAATTGCTTTTTGGTTTAAAAAGGTATTGCTTTGATGGAAAAATAAACCAGAGCCGGGAGTGGTGGTTCACACCTGTAATCCCAGCATTTTGGGAAGCTTAGGTGGGTAGATCACTTTGGTCCAGGAGTTCAAGATCAGCCTGGCCAACATGGAGAAACCCTTCTCCACAAAAAAATACAAAAATTAGCTGGGCATGGTGGTCCGTGCCTGTAGTCCTAGCTACTTAGGAGGCTGAGGTGGGAAGATTACTTGAGCCTGGGAGATAGAGGTTGCAATGATCTGAGATCTTTCCACTGCACTCCAGACTAGGCAACAGAGTGGGACCCATCTCAATAAATTAAATAAATAAATACCCATACCAGAAAGTAATTTCAATTACATATAAAACATTAGACATCTGCCATATGCTGGGCAACACTGAATATAAAAACTCAAATGAGGCGGGGCACAGTGGTTCACACCTGTAATCCCAGCACTTTGGGAGGCCAAGGTGGGTGGATCACGAGATCAAGAGATCAAGACCATCCTGGCTAACATGGTGAAACCCATGTCTCTACTAAAAATACAAAAATTAGCTGGGCGAGGTGGCACACACCTATAGTCCCAGATACTGGGGAGGCTGAGGCAGGGAAATTGCTTGAACCCAGGAGGCAGAGGTTTCAGTGAGCTGAGCTTGGGCCACTGCACTCCAGCCTGGCAATTGAGCGAGACTCCATCTCAAAAACAAAACAAACAAACAAAAAACTCAAATGAGATAATGCTGATCTCAAATATTTTGCCATAAGCTGGTTGGGGAGTCAAATATAATAAGATTACTTTATAGTGTGACAAATGCTATGGGCTTTAAAAACCAGATCCTAACACATCTTATAAATGTTTCATTAAACTTATTTTTTCATTAATAATCAATATAATGATTGTTCTATTGATCTTTCCAACCATATTAGATTAGTCATAACAATATACTAAAGGCCAATAGCATATTTCATTGAGAAAGTAAACAGTGCCAGGGGACATACTTTGGAATAGTTTTCCTTTTTCCAGAACTGCCTGCTGAAGGTCAAGTGAGTTTATCATGAGACACTCTTTGCAGGGTCCCATCAAGGGATGATGATTTGGCATTGCCTAGCAAAGCCCACCTCAAGAAGCCCTGTGAACATTACTGCTGCACTGTCCTACCTCTATTCCCTGCAGAGTGGTTCAGGCTTGCCGGGATGCAGTCTTAGGAGAGAGAAGGTCTGTGGGTATGGAAAGTGCTTTTTGGGGAGAGAAGTGAAAGGATATGCAGGGAGTCCTCATTTTGGCTTTGACTCCTCTCCATTCACAATAAAACAGGAGATGTGCGAGACATTTATTGCTTATGTCCCTTGTCATTACCAAACCATTGCCTGCCTGTCTGTAGCACCCCGGTATTCTTTAAAGATTTACACAACTGTTATCAATTCCCAAACAGTGTTCTTAAGTTTTATTTATTTGCCAAGCATTTTGAAAAATTTTGTTAGTATATCATCAAGGTAGAAAAAAAACAATAAAAATGTACACAGCCTCAGAAAACAATGTTGAATTCTATATGTTGCCACATACATTGTTAGAAAAATAGCGAGCTCTGGCCCATTCCCCATCTCTACTAAAAATATAAAAATTAGCTGGACGTGGTGGCACATGCCTGTAGTCCCAGCTACTTGCGAGGCTGAGGCAGGAGAATCGCTTGAACCCAGGAGGTGGAGGTTGCAGTGAGCCGAGATTGTGCCACTGCACTCCAGCCTGGCGACACAGTGAGACTCCATCTCAAAAAAAAAAAGAAAAAAAAAGAAAAGAGAAAAGCAAAAAGCAACCGTTTGACTTAATTACTTTAAGGGAGAGAATGAGCTTGCAATAGTAGATGTGTCCCTACACTCTATGTTTAATATTCAAGGTGGGGAGCATGCTCAGAGGTGGAAATAAGCTTACAGTGCATCTTCCAAAAGGCCAAAGGTATGTGCCCCACATTCCTTTAGGGTTCTACACACTGGAGGCTCTGCCTGTATCCTATGTGGAGCCAGTGAAGCAACATCTGTCCAAAGACAGGGGAATGTTTTCCACCTCTTTTATAAATGCGTGCAATCTGTGCTCATGTATATTTATACAAGCCTGCTTTCCCTACTGGGAGGAAAAAGTCAGACTCATTGACGTTGTTTTTGACCCTCAAACTGAACTTGATACTATCAATGTACACTTTAATTAAAGATTAGGTCAAACCTATTTTTTATTTAAAGGCTGATTCTGAACAAATGCCTTCACTGTTCAATTTAAAAAACTATGGTATTAAACAAACAAAAAGGTACACATTATTGCTTCTTTCTGTGTTTGTCACAGTAAATACTTCTGACAGATGTTTCCTCTCTTTGCAAACATGCTAGGAGGTGCTTTAGCCTTAGTAATTTTAAAATAGACATTAAATGCATTTATATATTACATTTAAGATCCACTGAGAATACTGTGTAGCACCATACAATGAAAAACAAATTGTTACTTGATTATTTAACTATCTTTCAAGCCCAAGCAATGTTAATAGAGTCAATCCATCTCTTTTGTTAATGTAAAAATAATAACTTTCTAGCTGGGTAAAAATGCCCTTAATTTCAGATACCTTTAAGGAATGCAAATCACTGGGACCCACAATTCACAGGAAATATTCACTGTATGTTATTTAACTATTTCTAAAATATCTAGTATCCTTTGTAAGCATATGGAAGCATTAGGTTTCTTTGAATTAAAAAGTGAGCTTGAATAACAGTTAAAAAAAAAACTTTCCTTCACCACTGTTAAGGTTATGTTTGAACACTTGTAACAACAGATCTATGTGCTTAGGAAAGAATTTTTAAAACTCAGATATTTTTAGTCACAAAACTCTAGGATGATGTTATATAAACTCACTTGCAAAGTTCAAAATGACTTTAATTTTGCTTTGTTAAACATAACAGTCTATTTAATTTTATGTGCAAAATAAGCTTATGTGTATCAGTAATATAGGTATAATGTTAATATTTTTATTTGCAGTTCTCAAAGAACCATTTTGAAATTAGGATACTCCCCTCCTTCCCAAAAAAGTGCAATAGTGGTAAGCAACATAGTTTTTAAGGCTGGGTGAGATGGCTCATGCCTATAATCCCAGCACTTTGGGAGCTAAGGAAGGAGAGAGGATTGCTTGAGGCCAGGAGTTTGAGGGCAGCCTGGGCAACACAGTGAGATCTCATCTCCATAAGAAAAAAATATTCAGGTGTAATAGCACGTCTCTGTAGTCCCAGCTACTTGGGAGGCTAAGGTGGGAGGATTACTTGAGCCTGGAGGTTGAGGCTGCAGTGAGCTGCAATTGTGCCACTGCACTCCAGACTGAGCAACAGAGCAATAGAGCAAGACCTTGTCTCAAAAAACAGAAACATTTTTTAGTTAAAATAGACTAGTTTTAGTTAAAACAAGCTAGTTTTTGTGACTTCTAGTCTCAACTCTGTCAATGTTTTACTCTGTGAACAAGAGTTATATAAGACCTAATTAAAAACAATTATATTATTTTCCATTTTTAAATGCCTATATTTTGAAAGCTGAACCTTCATTATCCAAACAAATGTTAAAAGACAGTGGAACTCTTTTAAGAATACGATAAGCCCATTTTATAGGTGGGAGAATGAGGCTTGGAGAGGTACAATCAGAAGGACCCAAGGTCACACAGTTGCCATGAGCAGAGCTAGGACTTGAACACAGCTCACTGACTCCAATAGCCAACCTCTCAAGTACTCTGCTGCAGACTCTCACAAAACTGCCCTTAGGAACAGGAAGGGATAGTAATAGAGGACAGGTGAGGAGGTGATTAAGGTGAACTGGAAAGCACATGCAACTGTAGTTGTTTAGCTCCACAATGGTGTAGCCAGATGGACATGCATCACACTAGCTGGCAAGTGAGATATCTCGATTATGAAATCATCTGATTTTTAAATATTTAACTTTTTCTTTAAAAATAACCTACACAGGCCAGGCACGGTGGCTCACGCCTGTAATCTCAGCACTTTGGGAGGCCGCGGCGGGCAGAAATCACGAGGTCAGGAGTTTGAGACCAGCCTGACCAACATGGTGAAACCCCGTCTCTACTAAAAATACAAAAGTTAGCTGGGCATGGTGGCTCCTGCCACTACTCAGGAGGCTGAAGCAGGAGAATTGCTTAAACCAGGGAGGTGGAAGTTGCAGTGAGCCAAGATCGTGCCACTGCACTCCAGCCTGGGGAACAAAGTGATACTCCACTTCAAAAAACAAAATCCATGTACTAGAATGGGTAAAAAGAAAAAAGCAAAAACTGATAATGCTGGCTAGGATATGGAGCAACTGGAACTCTCATGTACTACTGATTGGAATGCAAAAATAGTACAGACACTTTGGACAATAGTTTGACATATTCTTTTATTTACGTATCTATCTTTTGAGAGACAGGGTCTCATTTTGTTGCCCAGGCTGGAGTGCAGTGGCTCAAACACAGCTCACTGCAGCCTCAACCTTCTGGGTTCAAGCAATCCTCCTGCCCCACCTTTCCGAGTAGCTGAGACTACAGGCATGTACCACCATACCCATTTAATTTTTTAAATGTTTTGTAGAGACCAGGTCTTGATATATTGCCCAGGCTCGTCTCAAACTCTTGCACCTAAGCAGTTCTCTCACCTCGACCTCCCCAAGTGCTGGGATTGCAGATGTGAACCACTGTACCCAGCCAGTTTGACATATTCTTATAACATTAAGCTGGGTGTGATAGTGCATGCCTGTAGTCCCAGCTACTTGGGAGGCTAGGTTGGGAGGATCACTTGAGCCTTGGAGTTCAAGCCTGCAGTGAGCCGAGATCGCACCACTGCACTCCAGCCTGGGCGACAGAATGGAGCCTCCTTAAAAAAAAAAAAAAAAAAAAAAAAAGGTAAACATACATTTTAACACATCTAGCAGCTAGCAGTTCACTCCTGGTTATTTTCCCAAGTGAAATGAAAACATATACTCACAAAAACCTGTACCTGAACATTTATAATATTATTCATAATCACCAAAAGCTGGAAACAATCCAGAAGTGTTTCAGCTGAAGAATGGATAAACAAACTATGATACATCTATACAATGGAATACCATTCAGCAATACAAAGGAATAAACTAGTGATATACTCAACAATGTGGATCTCAAAAGCATTATGCTAAGTGAAAGAAACCAGACTCAAAAGGCTACACATACTATATAATATGCTTCTATTTGTATGACTTTCTGGCAAAGGCAAAACCACAGAGACAGAAAACAGATCAGTAGCTGCCAAGAAATGGAGGTGGGAGAAAGGGTTGACTGCAAAGGGTCAGCACAAGATAATTCTGGAGAATGAGAGAAATGCTCTGTATCTTTATTGCATTGATGGCTACAAGACATATGTTTATGAAAGCTTGCTGAACTGGGTGAATTCACACTGACAAGGGTGAATTTATGTAAATTACGATTTAAACAATGAGGGAAATAGTTGAAAGGTGAAAAAAATACCAATTAATCTATTGTTTTATATACATATAAAACACTTTTATATTAAAAACAAAATGAAATGTATGCATGATTATTTTGCATTATAAGGACAATCTGGGTGCAAAATATAAGAAGCCCCAGACACCTCAAATTTGCTTCATCCTAGACCTGTTCCACCTTTCCTGTAATTTTCTTATTTCCATATCTCTTACAAATCATAGATTTTTCACATGGTTCACTATATCAAGAGGAAAATCTTTGTTTCTGCTTCCTTTTTAAAGCCTGACAGGATTCACACAGTTTGGCGATTAATCGTTAGCCTTTAATATGATTATTGTGTCCTAGATTCTATATGTTTGCTACCTTTTCGGAATACTTTCATTCTTTTAATTTAATGCTTTTTTTTCCCCTCTATATGTAAATACAGGGATCTCTCTTTGAAGCAGTCTGAAAGCTTGCTGACAAAAAATGATGTGCATGAACATCACCTTCTCCATAGCCCCAAAGAAAAAGAAAATTTGTTTGTGGAAAATGAGTAAATTCAGCCTCACGTGACAGGAAACGTTTGATTTTGTTTTTAACCTTATAGGACTAGGCAACAATATTTTTTGTGGGTTTGTAGCTTTATGGTATCTCATTATATAAGAAAAACTTTTAAGTTCTTGTTTGATTTGCTGCTTTATACAATCGGAAACTTTGCTTTCCACCTGTGAATTCAGGGACCTAGTTGATTTATTCCTCATTATATACAATTTACTGGGAAAATACGTGTTTTTTCATTCAGCAATAGAAGCCCCTTCAATGGCGCGATCACAGTTCACTGCAGCCTCAACCTCCCAGACTCTTGAGATCCTCCCGTCTCAGCCTTCGGGGTAGCTGGGACTACAGATGTGAGCCACCGAAACGGGCCTCTTTTTGAATCAATAGAATTTTGGTGTGCTTCTTTCTAAAGCGTAAATCTAATTACAGTTATTGGATGGGAATTGAGATGAAAGCCTCAGTACCATTCTGATTGACTAATGTACTAAATCTGTGGGCCACTACTTCCAAATAGTGACACCATTGCTACTGACGGCTTGGTAGTTCCAACTTAGAAATCTACTGGAAAGTATGAAATGATGGTGCATATACAAGAGCGCAGTTTCTTTGGTGACATTTTAAATTTGATATTCCGTTTGACCCCAAAGAAGGTAAGAAATATCCTGCTCTTGGCTTGAGCCCGAGAGTTGGAGGCTGCGGTGAGTCGAGATGGCCCCACTGCACTCCGGCCTGGGCGACGGAGACCCTGTCTCAAACACACAAAAAACCAGAAAACGTCCTATCTACTATGTGAAGTTCTGGCATTGTTTCCAGGGTGTCCTAATTACGTTGCTAGAAAGTACTCAGATTCCCCTACGAAAACGACAGGTCCAGGACCTGCAGAAACCGCCGCGGGCTGGGGCGGCCGGGGGCCCACGGCTTCCTGGGGCGGCACTGAACAGGCTTTGGGGCGCAGCGCCCGCTTTCTAAAGAAGGCTGGGATCGGATCCCGCCCCGCTGCAAGTCTGCTTTGCGTGGGTCCACAAGTACACCCCCAGAAAAGAATGTTAGGGCCAAATAAAGAGCGGTGGCCCCCGCCGGGGCAGCGGAGGCGGCAAGCAGGGTCCGCGTCCTCGGCGAGGAGCGCCCGCGATCCCAGGGCTGTCTGCTCCGGGAACTTCTTAAAGAATTACAGACACTGGGAGCATTCGGGGTCTGGAAGGAAGTGCGGTGTATCTCCCGGTTTAGGGTAACTAGGCCAGCTTGACTCTTTTACCTTGTGGCAGAATAAACGGCTAGCGCCTCGAAGTGGCACGCTCGACTTTTTCTCACAAAGCCGTTCCCTCCTCAGAGGGCGCCGACCTGGAATCAGACTGGACGGAGGAGGTAGGACCTGGGCAGCGCGAGGCCAACCACAGGCCTCGAGCCCGGCCCCAGCGCGGCCGGCGGCCGGCAGCCGACACCCGGGACTCTCCACACGCGGCCCTCAGCGAGGCGCCTCAGGGAAAGCAGCGCGAGGCGGGAACCGATGGGAGGAGCCCGGAGGAGGCCCCGCCCCCTAAGCCCGCCCCGCCGGGCGGTTTGATTAATGACCCTCTAAGCCGCCTCAGCCCCCGGCGTATCCCTTCGGGTGGGCGCGCTGCTCCGCTTTATCTGCCTTAGGAGCCCGGAGCACATAGGCCTGGCCGCGGGGTGCCCGCATAAAAGGCGCGGCAGGCGGGGATTGGAAGCAGCCGTCGACTTGGGCCTCGGCCGTACGAGGATGGAGTGACCTGCGCGGCCCTGGCCACGCAGACCCTGCCGACGCCCCTCGCCCGCTCGCACTGCGGAGCCGAGCCCCACTCGGCCGCTCCAAGAAAGGTGAGGGCACTGTCAGACGCCCACTGCGCGGCTCCCGGGCTCGGAACGGTGGCGGGTGCCGTACTCCGAGGTGAAGCCAGAGGTCCCCCACTGCTCGGGCAGAAATTCCCCCTGACGTGAAGGGCCGAGGGCGGCTGGCGCGCCGTGGTTTTCCGCGGCGTCGGCGAGAAGGAGCCGCGCCACCTCTTGTGCGCGGTGAGCTGAATAACGTCGCCGAAGCTCTAACCAGTGCCGATCCCGAGCTGGGCTTCTGAGATCTTTCTTCTCGAGTAGAGTAGCCCTTTCGCTTAATTTGTCCCCGAAAAGCAAAGCCGCCACCGCGCCCCTCCCTCCTCATCCTTCTAGGAAGCCCAAGAACTCCAGGGCCCCACACCTCTCCCCAGACGTCGGGAGGCAGAACTCGCCCCAGGCAAAACGAGCTCGACCGAGAGCGCCCTCGGGCCCGTTGGGTGGCTGGTGGGCGCACTGGGAGAACCCGGGTGCTGCGTCTCTCGAGTTAAGCCCGACCGCGCCCGGGCCTCACCGCGCCTTCGGTCCTTTGCAGCACGCGCGGCGCGGGAAGCCGCCATGGACCGCGACCGCCCCGCGGGCAGCCCTCCCAGCGCCAGCGCCGAGCCTGCGCCCCTGCCCGCCGCCACCCGTGACTCCAGCCCAGGGCGGACCGAGCCGGGGCCGACGGGCCCCGGGGGCGGCGCGCGTTCTGGGAGCGGAAGGCCGGCGGCGGCGAACGCGGCACGGGAGCGCAGCCGGGTACAGACCCTGCGGCACGCCTTCCTGGAGCTGCAGCGCACGCTGCCGTCCGTGCCACCCGACACCAAGCTGTCCAAGCTGGACGTGCTGCTGCTGGCCACCACCTACATCGCGCACCTCACCCGCAGCCTGCAGGACGACGCCGAGGCACCGGCGGACCCCGGGTTGGGCACCCTGCGTGGCGATGGCTACCTGCACCCGGTCAAGGTAAGCGGGCGGGGCCCACCGCGGGGCTAGGGCCGAGACCGGGACACCTTGATCCGCCCTACTAGTCACCGTCCTGGGTAGATGCTCTCATTACTTTTCGGGTGAGGCGGGAAACAGATCAGGAGAACGACCTCAGCCTACGAGGGTACTGGTGGCATGGTCCCTACCGCGAGAGGCTGGCTGCTCCTTCGCAGTTCACAGGTGGTGAGTGAGGCGTTTAAAGCCGAGGTGGCTTGGGTAAGAGCCTCGCAGGCCCCTTACAGGATGCAGCAGAAGGATTTGTGCGCCTTCCAAGGGGAGAAATGGGGGCTTGGTTGCACATCCTGATAATTTTTAATATCTGAGTTATATGTATGACCCTTTGAGAGTTTTTAAGTATCTTTAGTTTAAATAATTACACTTTCCTTGATTTTTATGGGATATTTGAAAGATTTTACAGGAGTAGGAAAACAGTGTTGAAAATTTTTTGGTAAAACTAGTAAGAACAAATGAGACCATTCTGCGTCTCCATAGGGTAAAATTTCAGTCCTTTTAAATAAAGGTTAAATATCATAGACTTGACAACTACCAAAAGTGTTAGAAAAAACCTACAGTGTTTTAAGTACTTTCGTAATAGATTGACATGTGTGTTGACTGAATTGATTACTAAATTCAAAGTCTGTAATGTACAAAATTAGACAAGAGAATCCATTTTGTGTAATTTCTTTACATATAGGTAAAATGGTCAGTTGTCACTTAACGTGGTATATGTGATTATGCTTCATTACCTGTTGCAGTATCCAGTCTTTGCATTATCCTCTTCTCCTAGATTTGATTGCTTTGAAACCTTACACTGATCTTTCTGTTACAAATGCATCATCTCATTATTTGCTAAACCTAAATTTTCAGAGTTTTGGTTCCACCATCCTGAAATATTTGGCCACACACACAAATGCAAAGTTAAGACTTAAGACTTAGCTTTAAGTATATCAGTGTTCAATAAATTATTTAATAATCATTATTTAATATGTTAAAGCACACCTTCTGATATTAATTGAACTTACAATTGTGTGGTAAGATTTAACAAAGTTTACTTTGCAAATATAATCATAATGATAGACTTAAACAATTTCAGTATTATATATGAAGACATGAAATATCATTTATTTATAATTATGATAGACCTTATCTCATTTGTAAGTTTTATAATCTCAGCAAAAAAAGTCATTATTGAAGGGCTTTGTATTACAGTGTTCATTAGATTGCTATTCAAATATACCATTAATATTAAAATTTTTTTGACTTGACATTTGCCATATACACTAAGGAAGCTTATTTCAACATTAAGTAGATTGTAATACAAAGAGCATCTGTTAAATGCTTTATGGGAGATATAATTCAGAATGAGAAATCAAGATGTTTTTCATATTATTTTCTTGGAATGCTTTTTTTGAATGAATAATGTTAGAAGGGTCATTTCCATGTAACAATAAGCATAGCAAGCATCTTTTTGCACTTGATTCATATACCAAATGTTTTTTTAATCATAACTTTTTCTTTGTAAATATTGTTTTTATTTTAAAAGACAACTCCTAATGATACAAAGCCAAATGAAAATGAAATTAATGTTAGTTGAACAAGTGACTAAAATCAAGCAGACTTTAAAATCAAACATTTATTGAATTCCTTCTATGTGCAAAGCACTATTTTAGGGGAGTGAACACCATTATGAATAAGACTCAGTCCCTTTCCTATATGAACATATTATAGAGACAAAGACAAAGAAATAAATAGCAGTATTGGAAGGGAGAATGTTGTATTAGCCATAAAAGAACTATAATTATGTGCTATGGAAGTTCAGAGGAAAGAGATATTATGTACATAATTGAAACCGCCTGTTAACTGTTAACACATTATTTTACAGACACTACCAAAATGTTTAAATGTTGTCTACCTTTGATTAATGGGAAAGAAATGAAAATATTCTAATTATTTGTACTTTTATGGTTAACTAAAGGCTCATTATAAACTATTGTTTAGTAAAATGTGTTATAAAATGACTTCACTTTTCTGCCTTATAACATAGTGTTAAGTCTTACCCTGATGATCAAAGCTTTTTTAACAAATATCTCAAGGCCATTATTTTGAATCATCAGTCCTTATTATCAGTATCATTAGCACATTAGCACTGTTGGGGATTTACTTTAAAAGCATTTCATAGCAAGACTACCTCTCTACTAAGAATTTTTAAAATTAGGTGGCTGTGGTGTGTGCACCTGTAGTCCCAGCTACTTGAGAGGCATATGCGAGAGGATCGCTTGAGCCCAGGAGATTGAGGCTGCATTGCACCACTGCATGCCTGAACAACTGAGCAAAAGCCTGTCTCTAAAAAGAAGAAAACATCTCAAATGAAACTGGAGGTTTAAGAAACTGGGAATCTGGTGCATAGCCTGAAATGGCAGTTTTTAACCCCTGTTGGGGTATGAGCAATTTATTTCCATTAGCCTCAGGTGCCCAAAAGGCAGTGATTGTCCAAGAAAACAGGAATATATTTCAGATCTCTACATTGGCAGAAAAACATAGATGATTTTATTGCCGTGCCCCTTAAGAATCATTGTCTATGAAAGGTAAACAATAATTTAAAAAACAGATAACAGGGTTTTGTTATTTTGAGCCACTTAAGTAAACTAAGTGCATTTTTAAGGTCTTCAGTTTCAGGTTCAATTACAGTTAACTATGAGTTTGCTAAATTTTCTAAGCTTAATGAAACCACAGTAAATGGTTTTAAAGATACCATATTAGGAAAAGTAGAGCTAAGAAAGGATTATATTAATCTATACAATCCTGAAACAAAATGTTGAAATGAAAATGTAAATCAGTCAA